CACGTTGGCATTGAAATGAGAGATTCAGGTTGAAGGAGGCTGACCAAGAGTTACCCAAACAAAGACTATGGGGTCCAGCAGTGTCCCAGGCAGGCTGAAACCTGGAAAAAATGTGGCATTTTTAGGAACTAAAGGAAGTTCTGTGTGGTTGTGGCTCAGGGAAAGAAGGGCAGGAAGCGCGCTGCAAGCAGAGTCCTGGCAGGCCTTGTAGGTCTTGTAAGAATTTAGTTTTCACCCTAAGTGTAGTGGAAGGCATTGAAGCATGTTAAGCAGGAAATGACATGATCCCTTGTCAAAAGGTGATTCACACAGCTCTGTGAAAAATGAATTTGTGACAGAGTGATATGAAATATATATTTTTGTCTTCCTCCTAGTTCCTAGCATGTAACTCCTAAAATCCTTGTTGTCTCCAAAGTGGTAATTGTCTTTTTTTGTATCCTGTTGAGCTGACTGATAGTTGGGGCCCCCTGATTTTCTCAGGATAGGGGCTGGTGGCCAGGGGCTAGAGCTTCGAGTCCCACATTCTTCAACCTCTAGGGAAAGGAGAAGGGCTGAAGATTAATTTTATCATCAGTGGTAGGGGTGTGAACAGTCATGCCTATTGAAACATCCATAAAACACTAGGAGGATTGGATTCAGAGAGCTTGGATATAGCCCGATATGTGGGGTTATGTATCCTTTCTAACCACTTCTGTAGTAAACCAGTGAACTGAAGTGTTTCCTTGAGTGTTTTGAACCACTCTAGCAGATTAATTGAACCTGAAGTTGGGGTTGTGGAAAATCCAGATGGTTGGTCGGAAGAATAAACAACCTGGGGCTTGCAATTGGCACTTCAGGTGGGGTGGGGAAGGCAGCGTTGAAAATTGAGCCTTTACCTTCTGGGTTCTGAACCCATTTCTGTTTAGACCATCTATTTCTAGGTAGACAATATTAGAAATAAATTAGAGGACACCCAGGTGGTATCTACTAAAAAACTCATTATTTGCTTGGTATATGGAGAGAAAACCTTATACAGGTGGTCACAGAAGTCTTCTGTGTTGATTATTGAGTGAGAAGATGGAGGGAACTGAGTTTGGCTTTTCCCTGAGTGCAAGTTGGGACAACTAGGAGTTGTTTTGCAGTTATTAAAGTGACACATAGATAAAATGGTGTTGTGGGAAAATGAACAGACCGTACATACATTTTGAAGGTAGAATAGATTGGTGTTGGTAGATGGGTTGGATGTTGGAAGAAAGAGGTAGGGAGATTGGAGGATGTCTTCTAGATTTCTGCCTCAAGTAAACACGTTGACCTCTTAGATAGTAGATAGGATAGGGCTATAAAATCCTTTTTTCAGAAAAGGTCAAACAGTTGATCTGAACCCAGCCTCATGGGAGGAGCAGAAGTGTCAGCTGTCCTCTGGCTCTGCCAGTGCAAGGAGCTCACACAGAGAAGCATCACCTAAGCAAGGATTCTGGTTCTCCCCCTAATGAGGCCCTTTGTTCCTTCCCTCTAAGGAATCTCGAACTCCAGCAAACCACTAGGGGGAGCATGGCCTGCGTTCTGTGTTTCTCTTGAAGGCTTCTTAAGTTTCAAGTCCTTCAGTGACTGGCTTGTATGGGCTTTAGTGCCTATACAAGTAGCCCCGACCTCTGTCCCCTTGTACTGCTTAAAGGAGTACCTGACATGTGGTAGGTGCTCAATAAATGTTAATTGGCTTAACTATTACACTGTGAATTTTATCTTATCTTACTAATGGGAGATGATACCTCTTGTTACTCAGCATGGAGCCTGGACAAGGGGAAATGTGCATTTTCTGGGTCAGGAGGTGACCAGAGTGTATGGTTGTTGGGTATAGTGCGAGGTAGAAGTTTAGGAATTAGTGGGGTTTCCATGGCCCTTTCTTCTGGTCTTCCATTGTAGACTAGAGATTCTAGTGCCGTTGAGGGATTCCTAAAATGGCTTTGGTTACATTGGATATTTACAGTGGATGACTGAGTAAATCAAGCTCTTTGAAGCTTGATTGCCTCACTAAAACAGTAGTGCAGCTGTTAGCTGTATACCTGCCAGTCTGTCATTTCCTACTGGATTTTGTGATGGTTTTCCTACCTTAGCTTATGGTATATATTTACTTTTTTTTTTTTTTTTTTTTTTTTTGTATTTTAGGGAAGGGTCTAAAGGGTGTTCAGGGTCTCACTACTAGATCGGACTTGTAGTGATCTGCCTGTTTACAGCCTCCAGAGCTGGGATTACAGGCATGCGCCACCACACCCAGTCTCAATTGCTGTCTCAGAGTGCTGGGAGGGGGGGGCAGTGCCAGCAGGGCAGGCCCAGGGATCGAAGTTCTGACCCTTGAGCCTGCTTTGAGCTACTTGGCCAGCCCTTGTATTTACATTTTAAATTCAGATCAATCAAAATCTTGTTTTGAGAATTTTGCAGCATACTGGAGATTAATAAGAATCACGAGGATTCTGGAAGGAAGTGTGGCATTAAAGATTCCATTAGGACCTCTCTAGCAGTATTTTGGGGGAGCTTTGGCAAATGTGTTTGTTGAGTCTCTCCTTATTTAGGGGTCAGCTGCTCCAGTGAATGTTTGTTTGATTGATTTTTTGGTTTATTTTTTGTGAGGAGCTGTGAAGAGGAGGAAGTTCTTACCTAATTCCTGATTTAAGGATGATGATGCTTTGACATAGTGTCTCCTCCCCTCCTTTCCTTTCCCATGTCCTCCTTTCTGTTCTCCTTTTCTCTCCTTTTTTCTTTCTTCCTCTTTCCTCTTTTCCCTTTCCTCTCTCTCTTCCTCCCCTTTCCTCTTCTCTTTCCTTCCTTCCATCCATCCATCCACCCATCCTAGAGATTGAACCTAGAGAGTGCTGAACTACATCCTCAGCCCTATTATGATTTTTTTTTTTTTTTTTTTTTTTAATTTGAGACACGTTCTCACTAAGTTGCCCACAAACTTGGAATCTTTCCTTCCTCTGCCTCCTTCCTGAGTTAACTGGGATTGCAGACATGTGCCACCATGCCCAGTACAGAATCTCTTCTGGTGCTTATCCCTGTCCTGTCAGTTGTCCAGGTGTAAGTAGAGACTGGTATTATGCAGATGCCCAGTTAGTGGCAGAGGCCAGTATTGCCAAGGTCTTCTGACTCTTGCTATAGATAGTCTTCCTGCAGCTCCCCTTCTGGTCAAAAACTGAACTGGATGAAAACATAATAAAATTTCCCCATAAAGTTAACATTGAACCTAGCCGTTGAATTTTATTCTGTTCTTGTCCAACTTGGTTTGTGACCAGAACTGTGGAAAGAATCAAGTTCATAAGCCGAGGTACCTCTGAACTCTACTTAATATATACTAGAGAGTTGATAGAAG